GGGATTCTGCAGACTGTTGAGGGTTCAGCCTCCTGATGAGTCGGTGAAACTCCGACGAAACAGTTTGTCACAGCCCCTCGTTTGTTGTCCTCTTCTCCCTCTCTGCCTACGGTTTACCGGGCAGTTCTATTTGACGATATATATATGTTTGTGACGATATATATATATATATTTTAAACAGCCCGAGTGGGTGCTAGGGGTGCTGATAAGAGCAGGCACCACTAGCACCGTCGGGGAGGCTCCATCTATTGGTGGGGAGCAGCACCTGCTGGAAATCGGGTCCAGCGTCCCTGTGGAGCACAAATGTAAACATCATGAAATATCAGAGTCCCTGAGGGGACCGGGCAGTGAGCTGCCCAGCCTTCTGTTCACTGCTTGACACCTACTCTGAATTGTAATCCTCTCCTCTCCTGAGTATTGATGATCGTAGCTAGATCTGCCTCTTCAGCCCCTTTTTTTGGGGCCGCCTGTTGCTGTTCTTAGTCCCTAGCAATCTAACCCATCTCTTGGAACCATTTCCCTCATTCTCCCTCATATCATGCCTCCTACTAAACTGTTTGCCGGGGGAGGGAAGAAGTCTGGGAATTGATCACTTGGTCGTAGTGGGATTGAGTCTTCAAGCTTGGTCCAGTCATTAAAGAGGAGATAAGCGACTCTTGATATTACCTTTTCCAACTCATGTTTTCCTCTCCATAAGAATGCTGCCACCTGCCTTTGTAGTGTCTTTGTACGTTCTTTACTGATAGACCAAAAAGTTGACTTGTACCAAATAGAGGCAAGGATGACATTGTTAATGATGAGGGCTCTCTCAAAAAGTGAGTTATTTTTATCTTTCCATTGATTCATTTTCTCCACGGCCAGTCTCGAAATCCACTCATCATTGATGGAAGGTTTTCCTTGAGCTGTCAGTGAAACTTCAAGAATTCTTATTGGGGAAACCAAAGGAACCCAATTAACCCTTGGCTGTTCTGGTGGACGATCCCCAATGAAATTCATCGTCTGATTCTTCTTGGATTTGGTTCTGGTGAGGTCTCAAAGGGGGTCAGCGAAGTTGACATTTTCAAACTGCAATCTTCTCCACTGATTTCTTGGCAAAATCGTGGTCAAATACATGCAAGACATGTCGTAAATGTTGCCAGATACATGCAGGAAAGTCCTGGTGTGGGTATGCTCTGAGCCCGGCAGAGGTTTACATCAAGTGCACGAAAACAAATTAGCTTGGAATTCGAAAGTGGAAACTACCATCCTTATGAGTTGCCAGTCTCTGGTCATAATCGCAGACAGATACATTCAGCAGCGGCCGTAATTGGTGTTAGATACGCCCAGGAAGAATCCTAGTGTGTTCCAATGAACAGACTCATAGGTCTGCGGGCAACCCTTCCCACCCATCCCTATAACCCCTACCCCTTTGCCCATGGGACTTCAATTTTTGTGTCCCACTGGTCATAGCCCTTCAGTCCCACAGACTCAAGGAACTTCACTTAAACCGCTAGTACATGGCCCCAGCCTTGCAGTCCGAACTTGTCGCCACAAGAAAACAAGCCTGCAACGTCAAACGTTGGGCCTGCAGTCGATAAATTCGATCGGCGGTCGCGTTCTCGTTTCGCGCCTCCAGAATTTGAGGTGTCGGGCCCGCGGCCCAGGTGCCCATGTACTGGTGCTTTAAACCGCTAGTACACGGCTCCAGCCTTGCATAAAGTTTTTGCTGCCACACGAAGAACTCAGAGGAGCCGCGCCACGCGGAGGGCCGTGGAAAAAGAAAATCGGCGGCCTCCGAAGTGGTGCGGGTTTCATGCTGACACTCGCAGGCCGATGTGTGGTGTACTGGTGCTTTAACACACACACACACACACACACACACACACACACACACCAGGGTTGCATCCCTGCTGACCGCCAACCCTGACCGCCGACCGTATTGCAGCCGACCAGTCAGAAAACAACCATCCACTGATTTTTTTTTCAAATCTGAGTTGGGGGCTGTACTGCGCTTGCTGAGTACAGCCCAAATCCGCTGAGAAATGATATGGGGGTATTGGGGGGGGTAATGAGGGTGTTGGAGGCGGTTTGTTGGGGGGTGTATGGGGGTATTGGGGGCTGTTAAGGGGGTGTTGGTGGTGTTATTAGGGGTTCTGGGTGTATGGGGGTATTGGGGGCCGTTACGGGGGTGTGAAACGGTTTTCACCTTTTAGCAGTGGCGGATGCAGTACCCAGGGTTCGATCCCTACCCATGTACAGTATCTGTGTAGACCCGAGAATTGAACCTGTGACCTGTGTATTCGTAGGCAGTTGGTAGGCCTGTCGTAGGTCCATAGGCAGCAGGGGTTCGATCTGTAGGTCTATAGCGTAGGAGTCTTAGTGAGTTCCGGAAGCTTAGCTGTAGACCTTCTAGAAGGTAGGCAAGTGGGCAAGTGGTCAAGTGGAGAGGCAAGTGGTGGACTAAACCGCAGTGCAACAGCAGTACAACATCGGTAGGATAGCGGTGAGTCCACAGTCAGTCAGCGGAAGGTCCAGTCAGTCCCAGTCCGGTCCAGCAAGTACCACAGGGGGACTGGGAGCACCAAGGGCCGATGGCAAAGGGCAGACCAACGAGTTCTGAAGTATAAATCAAGAGGCAGCGCCCAGCCATTCATTCATTCCTGTGTGAGCCATGCGGAAGCGCTGCCACAGCGACTTGTGCAAGGAGGTCTGCAGATGAGCCCGGAGGACGCAGTGGGC